CTAGAGATAAGTTATCTGATACAGATAGCAGAGCTCGTGAACAACTTCTAACATGACATTAGCTATTGAAACGTCTGGTCCAGTCAACACATCCTGTGCCATAACCATTATCGTCTTTAGACTGATACATAGTCCAAGTTAATCACAAACAATCACAAAGCTATTGCAAACTTGCTAGAGAGCCTCTTCACTGTGTGCAATGAGCACTGCGCCATCACCAAAAAGAAGTTCTCTTCTTTGCTTTTTGATCTTAGACATGCAATGTTGAAGAGATTTCCATCTGATGTTGTGTGGAGATAGATATCCTCAGTGCTAGATTAGAAAACACAACAAAGCAGCACAGAGATATACCAAAAAGTGTCAGTTCCAAAACATATTCCAGTTTGAAATCACTCTGGATTTCAAAGCTGCCAGATTGATCACCATCATAGTGGACTGTAGCCTAAGTTTATACAATCATGGAAGGATCAAATCATACTGAAGAGAATTTGGGGGCAACAAATTCTCTCTAGCAATTGGAAATTCCCTTTCTGATGACCAGGTCAAAAACCTTTGTGAGATCTATGAAGGCCACATAGAGAGGTTTCACTTTTTCTTGACACACTTCTTTCAGTTGCCCTAGTGCGAAGACCATGTCAATAGTTTATCTACCATCACAGAAGCCACACTGACTCTTTGGATATATATATCCAGCAAAAAATTAGTCTTTTGAGAATGACTCGTACGAGCACCTTGCCTGCAAAACTAAGGACAGAAATTCCTGTAGCTGTTCCTCTATAGCAGGGGTGGGCAACCTTTCAGAAGTGGTGTGCCGAGTCTTCATTTATTCACTCTAATTGAAGGTTTTGCGTGCCAGTAATACATTTTAACATTTTTAGACGGTCTCTTTCTATAAATCTATAATATATAAACTAAATTATAAGTAAATAAGGTTTTTAAAATGTTTAAGAAGCTTCATATAAAATTAAATTAAAATGCAGAGCCCCCCGGACCGGTGGCCAGGACCCGGGCAGTGTGAGTGCCACTGAAAATCAGCTCATGTGTCGCCTTCGGCATGCATGCCATAGGTTGCCTACCCCTGCTCTATAAAATGTGCTGTAGTTTTGCAGTCACTCCAATCTCCTTTGTTTTCATACATTATGATGTTGGCATTGTTCACGTCTTGTGGTATCATTCCTTCCTTCCCACAGGTAAGCAAGATATTGTACAGCTGTTTCAGCTCACCTTGTCCTCCTTGTTTCAGTACTTCAGCTGGAATTCCATCTTTTCCTGCAGCCTTTCCTGGTGCTAGGAGATAATTTCCTTTTCAAGCTCATTTACATATGATTCTATATTAAGTTCTTTGATGGTCTGGAGCCTGGGAACTGCATTTAGTGCTGCTTCAGAAATAGTGGTTGCACATGGATAGAGTTTGTGATAATGTTCCACCCAGCACTGCATCTGTTTGCTTGTCTTAATAAGTATGTCTCCATTAAGAGATTTGAATGGGGTAGTCTTCTTAGCTGAAGGACCTATTGCTTTCTTTATTCCATCATACATACTTCTTAGATCTCAATTCTGAAAGAAAATGTATTTTTTCATACAGACTGAGACAGTATGATTGAGCTCATTGCCTCTCTCTTCACTGCAATGAGCTCTTGGCCACTCTAAGGTTAGACAATGGTTCATGTGTGGTGGAGATATGCCGTGCATTTTGCTTCAATAACTGGAAGCATTTTTTCAGCATATGCTGCAAACCAATCTTTATCTTGTACATTCTTTTTACCAAAAGCTATGATTGAAGCTATATGGATATTCAGTCTAAGCATGTTCCACGCTGCATCAGCAATTAGGGGAGGTGGAATGCAGGACACAGCTTCCCGGAGATTTTTAGTGAGTTGAAGACATCCTCCTTGGTCTTTTGTGTTGTTGATGTTAATGTGTGAGCAAACAGCTTTGTTTGGTATAATGGAATAGTGAAAACCTTATTTTGCAGCATGGTCTGTGTCACAGTCTGAACTGTAAAAACTCTAAGTATGGTGAATATCCTGTAGATGTTTTCTGTAGGTGACAATTAAATCCAGTTGGTGCCAGTGGCCAGCTGTGGAATGTCTCCAGGAGACCTTCTGGCCATGACTGCCCTGGAAGTAGTTATAGGCAATACACAGTACTCCTGTATTGTTTGCCCATTGTTATTCATTTTTCCTACTCCATGGTAGCCAGTGCATAGCAACCACATCTCGTGATGAGAGGCGACTCTAACATTGAAATATCCCAATAGATATAGTCACTTGCCCAGTGGTAGTTTGCTGGTGACACTGTCTACCTGCTAATAGAACAAGTCCTTCTCTTGAAAGGTGGAATAAAGTGCTGGGGCATAGGTAATGATGATATTGGCAAAGCTACCTATGGAAGACCTCACTATTGGGGGGAGGGATAGCTCAGTGGTTTGAGCATTGGCCTGCTAAACCCAGGGTTGTGAGTTCAATCCTTGAGGGGGCCACTTGCGAATCTGGGGCAAAATCAGTACTTGGTCCTGCTAGTGAAGGCAGGGGGCTGGACTCGATGACCTTTCAAGGTCCCTTCCAGTTCTAGGAGATGGGATATCTCCATTATTATTATTATTCTTAGTGATATAATACATCCTCATATTGCTGTCGGACATTCGACCCTGGGTGCTAAGGAGTTGACTGCAAAACCATGCCATGTTTGTGATAGTCGTTTGCTTTTTTCCATGCTAAAAGAAGGCATAATGCATCTCGCATAGAGAGCGTGCATCAACTAGTCTGACTTCAGAGAGAGTGGCTACGTCTATGTCAAGCTTCTCCAGCCCTCGGTCAATGATGGCAACCTTTCTAGGGTCATTGACCTCACTGAGGTCATCCTCACAGTGCAAACTGTCCTCACATTCCAGCAAGCAAGTTTGAAGAGTGCAACCAACATACCCAAACCTTTGGCACATACACCTAGGCAGAAAAATAAAGAGGCAGAGGCTTCCCTTGGGACCAAATCCCTCCTCCTGGTAATACTGACTGGATCAAAAAGGCATGAAAGACCAAGATACTTGGAAGCCAGCACCAATGCAAGTGATGCCAGAGAGCAGAACTGAGTTGCAATGCCAACCACCTGATGCTTTCTCCACAGTGAATCAGTTCAGAGTTTTCTCTCCTAGCTTTTGTTCAATCAAGAACTGTCTGCAAGGAGTCAGCACCAGATGGAATTACTCCTTTGTGGATATTGTTTTTCATTCCACTAGGTATCTGGCAACCCCACCACTACCAATTGGTGAGTGGTGGGGTTCCCGGTTTAGTCACCAAGCATCTGATCCATGGCAGGTTACGTGATACCAGTAGTAAGCCTCACATTCCTGACCTATGAGGATGGTAGCACTAGATGCCATGGCTTAGCTGGTTAAACAACTGTCTAGTAAACGGAAGATTGTGGGTTCAAATGCCAGTGGTGCCTCTGCTTACTTCTCACCTCTCTGATAAGAGTGATAAATATGTACTATACTTTACAAGTCACTTCAACAAAAATATTAAACTTGTTTAAAAAAAGACCATTGTAGGCAGGACTGGTAGCATGACTGTGACATACTGGGGTGCAATCCAACCAAGTGAGGGGCTGCTCTGCACCTTGGGCGCCTTACAATGCCTTACTGCAATAGCTACCACCTGGACCACTCACAAGCAGCATGCAAACAACACCCTAAATGTCTGTATGTAACTTCAGCCTGCCAGCCACACACTGGTCACACTCTGGCTTCTACCAGCGTGGGTTCTTTCTGCAGAGTGACCCCAATACACTACCAGTCCTGGATTTTTCCCAAAATATATGTATTGTACTGAGCAGCCCTCTCTTGGACAGTCCAGAGATATTAAATCTGTTGTCCCTTTAAGGGAACAATACACAACAACTTGCCACCTTAAATAGCATTACCCAGACAATTTAACTTAAACACACTGGATTAGTTTCAATTAAAGAATAAAAAGTTTATTTAACTACAATGAGATTTTAAATGAGTACAAGCAATGAGGCATAAAAGTTAGAAATGGTTACAAGAAAAATAAAGTTAAAGCACTTCCTAGGGCCTAACTTAAATTATACTTGATTCAAAGTGAAGTTCTTACCACATCCTTCTAACAAAATTACTGACCAAACTTTACAGGGCAGGACCCCGCTCCCAAAGTCCATTGGCTGTTTCTTTTGTCTTCTAGGGTACAAAGAAGGAGATTCACCGGGAGAGATACTCCTTGGGGTGTTTGCCCCTCACTTTTATAGTTCAGCCCCCTCAAAGTTCTATCCAGCGGAGCAGAAGGAAACAGAATCTAGTGAGGAAAGATGCTACATGCTGTTTTCTGTCACCTGTGTGTGCTGAGATGCAGATTTTCTTCATCTTCTTTCCTTTTCTCTCTTGCTGAGGACATTGTTTACAGCTTATATGCAAATTGAGATAACCACATGTCCCTTTGCACAAGACTACTTGACCAGTTGTCCCTTAACTAGCTAGGAATAAGAAACAGACTCCTGTCCTTTATGAGGGTCAATCACTAAAGGGAGATGCAATCACATACATTTTGCCCATGTATAACAATGTTGGAACAGAAAAGCAGTCCATGAAAGGGTTTCTTACATATTAATTGAAATTAGTTAAATTATCTCTGAACTAAGCAATACAAAGGTTCTAAAACACATTACAACAAAAATCTGTATTTCGTTTTTAATATGGCTTCATAATTCATATGGTACTTTTTTGGCCTTAAAAAAAAATCTATGATAATCTAATCTGCCCGCCTGCCATGACACAAGCCATAGAATTGCTTCTATTAATTCCTGAATCAAACCCAGTAATCTGAAGGTGTTTAAGAGCCACTGATTACAACATGTTACCAAGCAAAGAAAATGACACAGCTTTTTCAGCAAATCCAAAGAATCGACCCACTCAATACTTTCTCTTGTACAATGAACCATCCATATCAACCATACAAAAATAATTTATTTAACATAAACAAAAACCTTACCTGGACACAAACTTGCTTAAATCTGAATATTCACCACATTCCATTATAATGCTGAGGTCAGTAACAGCAGCAGATATGCTTTCATTACTCTAGATTGGAGAAATTAAGAAAAAATGCAGATTAATTTATAATTATACATAAACTTGCTAAAACAACAAGGAGTCTGGTGGCACCTTAAAGACTAACAGATTTATTTGGGCATAAGCTTTCGTGAGTTAAAACCTCACTTCTTCGGATGCATAGAGTGCATCCGGACTCTATGCATCCGAAGAAGTGAGGTTTTAAC